CTGTGTTACTTTGGAAGGTGAGAAGCCTATACCAAAAGCAACGCCCAGCGCCACGGCATGGTGCTGTGGGACAAGATCTTCTACGAAGTAGCCAAAGAGTACGACGATGTGGAGATTGACAAGATGCTGGTGGATGCCATGACGGTGCGCATGGTGCTGCAGCCCAAGAGTCTGGATACCATTGTGGCTACGAATTTGCATGCGGATATCCTGACGGATCTTGCGGCGGCGCTGGGTGGCTCGATTGGCATTGCGCCATCGAGTAATTTGGATCCGACGAGGAAGAATCCATCCATGTTTGAGCCTATCCATGGGTCTGCACCGGATATCGCGGGCAAGGGGATTGCAAACCCTGTGGGCGCCTTTTGGAGCGCGGCGGAGATGGTAAGGTGGGTTGGTGAGGAAAAGGCAGCGGATGCGCTTATGAAGGCTGTCGAGGCTGTCACTGCTAGGGGTATAAAGACGAAGGATCTTGGTGGCAGTGAGAATACTAAAGGTGTGACTGAGGCTGTTTGTGCAGAGTTAGAAAAGGTCCTCCAATCATCTTGATGATCCAGACTTCTATAGTAAATGCGCATATACACATACCTGTAGCAAGCCGCCAACCGTCTTCGTGCATGCATTCAACCCACCACGTTGTGCCCTGAAACCAAGCCTTCCCGTCTACAACCCTCAATCCAAAAACCGAGCCGGTATCTCGGCCTTCCCCTCCACCATCTTCGTCCTCCCCTTATCACTCATCTCCCTCGCATCCCGCACCTCCCCAAACGGCCACCACCCCCTCCAAACCCACCTGGCCTTCCCAATCACCAACCCTTTACTAATCGGCCCAAAATCATTACTGTCAAGACTGCTTCTCCAATTATCCCCCTCAATCCACAAGTGTCCATACGGCACCACCACCTTACCCAGCACCTTTCCCTTCCCCCTCTCACCCACAGCATCCCTATCCTCATCCACCAGCCCATCGGGCAACCCCTCCAACCTCCTAGCATGCACCCCGTCGTCCACTGCATACCCGCGAACAGGGTACACCGTATCCCCCGGCAACCCCACAACCCGCTTAATACTAATCTCAGTCGGCCGATGTGGTTTCCAAAATGTCACCACATCACCCCTCTTGATGCCATCGCTGTGAGCGTCTGCCTTGCCATTACCCGCATCACCACCACCCCGTCCCCGTCCTCTTTCCCGTACCCCAGCATGCCACGCCACCATAATCACAGAATCCTCTTCCCCGGCCTCATGCGCCCGAGGATTTAAACTCGGAGCCATGGAACTGCCCTTGACATGCTGGAAATCAAAGTAGTAGTCGCGGATGAAGATCATGCCGCAGAGGACAACGACACCGCGGGTGGCCCATGTTGCGTAGCGCATGGGAGGCGTGTGGGGGTTCTCAGGGTTGTGATTATCGTTTCGGTGGCGATTGTGATTGTGTTTGTGGTTGCGGTTGCGGTCATGGGGTGACGACAAGGGAAGGGCGGTGGAAGGCGACGAGGGTGGTGGTTTGGCGGGTTTGGCGGCATAGGTGGGAGTTGAGGCGCGGGGTTTTAATTTGGAGGTAGGGAGTGAGGATGGTTTGGAGGACAGTCGGATGGGAGGCTTGGGGGCCATGGTTTGCGCGTAGGGTGGGATAGGATGTGTTTGGTGTGGAAGGACGACGCGAAATGCTGCATGTGGGTGAGGCACGGTGTCACGTGGGGGAAACCCATTCGTACCTGGGCCACCCTAGGGATCACAGATGTTACGATTTGTTCTAGGCCAGATTGACCGTTTTAGCACTTGGTTTTTCAACGGTGTTGTGCCTCAAGATTTAACAGCTCCTATAGTCGTCTATTGCTTGTCGTGAGGAGATGGAGGATTTTTGACAAAGGAAGTTACGCGCGATGCAGGAAGAGGTATCATGATACATCAAGCTAAATGGCGGCTATGGTACAATGACTAAGATTTATCCACAATATGTCGTCACTGCCATCATTCGTTCAATCCTAAGATGAGATGTTTACTTAAGGGCCTTGATAACAGCGTCGGCATATTCGTAGGTCTTGGATTTCCCACCGAGATCACCGGTGATGGTCTACGGAACAGTCAGCGATGGCACATTTGCAGATGTTCAGAATTCCGCTTACCTTGCCCTCAGATAGAACCTTGAAAATGGCCTGCTCGATGTTTGCTGCCTCCTGGTTCAAGCCCATGTGTCGCAACATCATGATGGAGCTGAGAAGGAGCGCAGTGGGGTTGGCGAGCTGCTTACCAGCAATGTCTGGCGCGGAACCGTGAACAGCCTCAAAGATGGAGCTCTTGTCACCAATGTTACCAGAGGGGGTCAGACCAAGACCACCAATAAGACCGGCACACATGTCGGACAAAATGTCTCCGTACAAGTTGGGCATGACGAGAACCTTGTCGTTGTATGGGACGGGGTCTGTGACCATCTTCAAGCAGGTGTTGTCCAAAAGCTCAGCGTCGAACTCGATGTCGGGGAATTCCTTGGAGATCTCACGGGCGGTGCTCAGGAAGAGACCGTCGGACATCTTCATGATGGTGGCCTTGTGAACCGCGCGGACCTTCTTCCTGCCAATGTCGCGGGCGTGCTGGAAGGCGTAGCGCAGGACACGTTCGGACGCCTCACGGGTGATGAGCTTGATGCTCTGGACAACGCCGTCAACCACGATGTGCTCAATGCCAGAGTACTCGCCCTCGGTGTTCTCACGAATGAGGACGGTGTCGACATTGTCGTAGGGTGTCTTGTACCCA